AAGTTAGAGCTACGACTCTATGAATCTCCCAAAAACGACAATTGCAAGGAACATGAATATGGACGAAGCACAGAAATCCAGATTGCAAATTCACACTGAAGTCCAAGTAGTCAAAGCCAGAGCAGATAGCACAATGGAACCGAGTAACCATCCATTTGAGAACAATACAGAAGAATCGTGAGTCAATGTCCAAGCCCAACAGGGAAACACCAACAGCATAACCCAATGTAGCTCTCTGTCTGAATGGCGCCAGGCGCCCTGCCTACTCTACAGACTAAGCCTACAACTACAGCAATGAAAGCAACCAGACAACTTGACTACCAGCGAGTGATGATGTCAACACCAATGCCGACCTCCACCTCCACCAGGTACGTGTCCTCTTCATCCACACTCTCCCTTGATAACCCACACAGCGCCCTTCACCTCCGAAGAACCATCTTCGCCCTCACCTCCCCTGCGCCCGCCAGCAGCCCGGCTATGGCCGCCAGCGCCCTGCGCCCAGGCAGCGCACCACCGTATTAGCGCTGCCTGTCTCCCTCATGCCCAACGCAGCTTTACACAGCGCAGCACACTTGCACTCGCGCAGCGTGCCGGCAATGCCTGCATTGGCCAAGGATCCCTGCCCACTCGCCCTGCTTGCCTATATGCCAGTGCTGTGTGTGGGCGGCCTCCCTTCAGCCTGTGTCTGGGCCCCAGTGGCTGAACCCAGCCCGATACAGTTGAGGCCCGGGGCAATGCAGTTGCGCCTCTTTCATCAAGGCCTGCGGCCAGATTCAGATAGTGGGCCGATTTCCCTTTGGCATTTTCGGCCTCTCTACCCAGCATGCATTGTCGGCCTCACGTTCAAGTGCCCAGGGCCTAACTACCTCAGAGGCCCTGGGATTTCCACATCTGCGGAGATCCAAGACTCGGTGCACTCCAACCAACTGGCGTGCTGCAACTGTATGGACCCCACTTCGGGAAATGTTTGCACAGAGGGCTCTTGTTGATTTGCTGGGCCGCCTTCACTTAGGGCGGGCACTAGGCTTGCTGGGGCCTTAGCCCAGAACATGTACATCATGGCAAGGCCCCTTCTTGAGGGCTCAATCCTCACACAATTCACTAATTTTCAATTAAGAATCCGAGTATGAATTTAAAATTTGAGTAATCATGCAATCGAAATTTAAAACTAGGCTAGAGCCACAATTAAGAATCAAAGTTTTAGATATCAGAATTTGAATTCTGATTTATGGGTATCAATATCAAGAAACTGAACCAAGAATTACAAAATAGCATTAAAGTTGGGAAAAATTGATCATAGCATGATCCAGATCGTAAGTACCACATGTGCAGCAACCCTGTTCAGCAGCAGACCGAATCAGAACAGCCTCATCAATCATGTAGCCCGCCACATCATCAACATATACAGGTGGCAGCAGCCACGTCAGCATCGGCGCTTGGCAGCTGCCACGTCAGCATGCCCAGAAGACCATCGCCAGCCAGCACCATGCCAGCCAGCAGCGCCTTGCCGTCCTCCTCTGCCAGCATAGAGCCGGCGTCAAGCCAATGTCGCAATGTCGCAGCATAGCAACAGCGTCAAAGTCCACGCGTGAAGT